TATCAGCCTGCCAGAAAACGATGGAAGTTTCTTCTGTATCTTCACTGTTATGGGAAGTTCATGCAGAGTCTTTTCCAAAGCCACCTTTCTTCAGTTAGCTCAGTTTGGGCACTTAAACTGATAGCATAAATAAAAATTGCAAAGTACAACTTAAAGGATACTAATCAAATGTACTTGATCACTTTCTGCTGTAAGCTGCCAAAGATTACACCTGTTTCCCTGCTGTATCACCAGTTAAAATGAGTGATCAAAGATGGCTTGTGAAAGGTGAAGTAAACTATTTGAAGGATATGTCCATTTTTTTTCCAAATTAAGTAATTACTTTAGTATAGTTTCTGTAATGTTGCCCAAGTATTTTTTCAATATGCTTATTCATACAAACACGATAGTAAAGCGTAATTTAAGTTGGTATTCTTTTATATGCAGGTTTCTACAATCCAAGAACTTGTTACTGGTTATGAAGCCTCTTTGAAAACTTGTGACCTTTTTAGTACATGTGGTAAGTTTCTGTGGTCTTGTATTAATTACACTGTAATTGCTAATACTGTTTATGATCAAGAACTACTGAAGTGCTGATACTTTTTGCAAGAAAATAGTTGTAATACTTTCTAGTAATTGAATGCATTACAGGAAGTATTTGCTGAGTTTGCCAGGCTTTATTTTTTGTTAGTTTTTCAAATGCAGTCTTCAACTGTACTGGTTACTGTAACTTTTTCCATTTTGTTTCAGAAAATGGAGAGAAAGAGCCCCCAACGACACTGCTTTGGGTTCGCTATTTCCTGGCACAGCACTTTGACAAACTTGGCCAGTGTTCCTTGGCCTTGGATTACATTAATGCTGCAATTGCAAGCACTCCAACATTAATAGAACTGTTCTATTTAAAAGCAAAAATTTACAAGGTAAAAAGTTAATTTGGACATATGGAGTACATAGTTTATATAAAAAAAAACCCAACCCATCAAACTGGTGTGAATGTGTGCATAATATTTCAGTCAGGAATGGTTACAGATGTTGGTTTTCATGTGTGTTTCTTTTTGGGCACTGTTCTGTTAGGAAGAAAATGAAAACCTTTTTGTTTAGTTTTTGCAAAGCAAGTCACAACTTACAGCAAATTGTCATTCTGAAAACATCTGGGGGTGGGGTGGCAGCAAACAATAATACTGCCTTTTGTTATTTCTGAGGGAGAAATACAAGTAACTACAGATTTCAGGAGTTGGTCAGTAGCAGGCTTATACTGAAAGTTAACTGTTTAGTTTCACCCTAACAGCATGTAGGTAACCTCAAGGAAGCTGCCAAATGGATGGATGAAGCACAGTCTTTGGATACTGCAGACAGATTTATCAATTCTAAATGCGCTAAATACATGCTGCGAGCAAATATGGTGAAGGATGCAGAGGAGATGTGCTCTAAATTCACGAGGGTGAGTGTATTGCTTTAATGAAGAGGGGTTTTGTTTGCCTCTGGCATTTTTTTTTCGCTTGTGTAACTTGACCAAAATGAAAAAAAATTTATTAGTGTCCATTTTTAAGATAATGATCTTACTTAGTTGTAAATAACTATGGAATCACAGAACAGTTGGGGTCAGAAGTGACCTTAAATATCATCTAGTTGAACCCATCTGCTGTGGGCTGGGGCATCTTTCACTAGACCAGGTTGCTCAGAGACCTGCCCAGCCTGACCTTGAGCACTTTTAGTGATGGGACAGTACAGCTTCTCTGGGCACCCTGTTCCAGTGCCTCACCATCCTCACTGTAAAAATATTATTTTTTGAGTCCAATGTAAACCTACCCTTTTTCAGTTTAAAACAGTTACCCCTTGCCCTGTCACTCCAGGCCCTGGTGAAAAGTCTCCCTCCGTCTTTCTTACAAGTCCCCTTTATATATTGAAAGGCTGCAATAAGGTCTCCAGGCTGAACAACCCCAACTCTCTCAGCCTTTCTTCACAGCAGACGTGTTCCAACCCTCTGACTTTTTTTTACGGCCCTCCTTTGGACCTGTTCTAACAGGCCCATGTCCCTGTTGAGCTGGGGGCCCCAGCTCTGGATGCAGTACTCCAGGTGTATAGACCCAGTAAATACTAGAAGAAATGGTTGTTCACAGGTGGTTGTCCGGAACTATTTTTTTATTGCCATACTTCCAAGTACCTCTCTGGAAATGTGTCTGATGGATACCTTGTTTGCAAAACTTACTGTTTCCTGGTAATACCATCTGAGCTAACTGCACAGGAATGTGCACTGTATTAATTGTGATTTAGCATTAACATAAATGAATTTGGACTTCAACATTTCATTTCTTTAAGCTAGTACTACAGACAGAAACTTTGTTAAAGCAAATCCTATCCTTAAAACATGGGGTAAGCACTTTAAATTCTATAGTTTTAGATTTTAATTTAGATTAATAATTTAGATTCATAAAGACCAGATTTCCGTATTACTTATGTGACTAAATATAAAGACAGCTACTTGGTGGGAGTTTCTGGAGCACACAAATGAATCATGCTCTTTAATTCTTCTTAATTTTATGTGTGAAAACACTTTAGCTTTCTAGACGTTTCTAGGAATGATTGAAAATTTAATACTGAAACTCATCATGTATGCTTGTTGGAAGTGTTAGAGCAAGAAATACAGAACTCTAGCATAGATACCTGTTGTAAGATAGGCTAAATCTGATCAATAATTAAATCTTGTGAGTTGGACTGGGTTTCCTTTCTTGTATAAAGACTGTTCTGAAAATTTGTTGGTTAGCATTTGTGATACGTGCAACATGCTTCCAGTTTGCTTGCTCTTAATCTAGAGCATTGAAACTGTAAAGAATAAATACTAGGGTTTTTTTTCTTGTAAAAGTATGGTATCTAAAACTAACTTTGTTTATTTAGACTAAGAAGTTGTAGTATGAACAATTATTCTTACATGATAAAGCAGTAAGTGTATTAGTGGACTTTTGGATTAGTAGATGCCAATTACCTGACAGGTGAAAAAAACAAGGAAAATTATTTGCTGTGAATGTTAAGATCTTTAAAAATAGTGTTGTTTTCTGCCCCCAAACTGTAAAAGTAAGACTGTGTATACAAGCATGAGTTAACCTTAAAATCTGCTGAGACACTAATCTTATTCAGATATTTTTTTTAAGTAACTGAAATCTATTCCTTTTTATCTTGGGGAGCACAGGGTATTACAAGTGTTATTCTTGGTTGCTGGGTGATTATATCAATTTTCTATTGTATTCCAAGTAATTGAAGGATCGATTATTTCCTACTAATGGCCTGAAACTAGCTGTAGTTGAAAGAAGCAGCTGGTAAATTATAATAGCAAAAAGTGATAATGACATTTATTTCAGGAAGGAACTTCTGCTATGGAAAACCTAAATGAGATGCAGTGTATGTGGTTCCAGACTGAATGTGCCGCTGCTTATCAGAGGCTAGGGAAGTATGGTGATGCCTTGAAGAAATGCCACGAAGTAGAAAGGGTGAGTAAGTGCAAACACCATCAATTTCTTTCCCAATATTTCTCACACACTAATGAAGATATCTGCTGATGTAATCAGCATGGTTTTCTTTGTGTATGAAGTATCTAGTATAATCATTTTAAAAGACGGGTTAATAGTTGATGATTTACTGTAATAGGTAAGGTGTCATCCCTAGCTATTTTGTGAAAAATAATTATTTGAAGTTAAAAGGATTTAAAATAAAATACCATGTTTCCTAACTGTACAACTATTTGTACATTAACTTTGTGCTGTCTTTTGCCAATTGTTTTTTTAACCAGAACAATCACATTTGAGTTGGCTTTTAAAGAGTACCTTATCACATTACAGTTTTTATTAACAAAATGAGGTTTTTCTGGGTGAGATTTTTTGCTGCTCACTGGTTCTCTTGGATAGTCACTATTATAAGTATATTTCTATGCCTGTTAAATATTGCCTGTGAATAGTATCAGTTGTAACTTTATTCACCTCCATCTAATTAAAAAACTAGACTAAGCAAGGGAAGTGCATAAGAGTTGTGTGTGTGTTCTTTTTTCTTGAAGCATTTTTTTGAGATAACAGATGATCAATTTGACTTCCACACATACTGCATGAGAAAGATGACTCTTCGTGCCTATGTAGACCTTTTGAGATTAGAAGATGTGCTCAGGAAACATGCCTTCTACTTCAAGGCTGCTCGGTCAGCAATTGAAATCTACTTGAAGCTCCATGATAACCCTCTTACCAATGAAAGCAAAGAACAAGAAGTGAATTCAGGTATCTAGACCATAATGGAGTCCCATATGTGTATGACACATGTAAAAGCTTATTAAGCTAAGTTAGATGCTATAGAATAAATGAGTGGTAACATACATGAGTTTTTCCTCTCTTCTGTCTCCATTTGATAACTGAAAAGAGATCATAGATAATGTGCCACAGCTTTCTGCCTCTCTGTTCTCTTCTCATCGTATTGTAAAACTAGTATGTGAATCAACCTAGCTATAGTTGTAGTACTTGGGGAGGAGTGCCATTTCAGAATATTAAGAGGAAAAATCAAATTCAGTTCAGCCATGTATTAATTTAAACAAAAGATAAATGTCATTAACAGGTGAATTTATGAAACAATGGATAGATTCTGTGGGAAAGCAATCTGAATTGTAAGAATGTGATTTTGATCTAGTGTATTTAATGTATTACATAGTAATACTAGTTAACACTGCATTACATTTTATCATTTTTCACATAGCTTCAGGACCAAAGAATACATGAATAAGTGTGTAGTAGCAAAACTAATGCATTTAGGAAACAATCTTAAACAATTGTTAAATGGGAAGCAGACTTTCTTAGGAAACCAGTGGGGTGTAGTTTGGAAGTCTGAGGATTCAGTGACAAACGAGTTAGGAGGTTTTTTCCTTTTAAGATAAATAGTTGCTTCTCCTTTTTGTAGAATTGCAGCTACTGTAAGTGCTGCAGTGGCATTTGACTAAAGGGTCAAAATTAATGTCTTGCGAAGGGAAGAATATTTTGACATGGGAGAAAGTTATACTAAACCAAAAATGCCACTTAGTATTGCTGATACGATCTTATCTTTCAGAGGCGAAGAATAACACTTTCCATATCTGCCTATGTATAATGAAGGACATATAAAAAAAGGCGCCGTTCAACTTGCATCTTTTTTTTCTCCAGTTTTGTTTCTGTATAGAATGTAAGATAAGTGTGTGACAGAGGATCTTGATAGCGATATCTCATAGAAACTAAGGTGGGGAAGAGTCTAGGAAGTCATGTTAGTTCATTTGGTTGCCGTGCATTGGGATTCAGTAGGCTCATCCACAGGGGAAGACAGCACTGTATGAATGGGGTAAAAAAGAACGCTTGCTTCTCCTAGGTTCCCTATCTCAGAACAGTTGCTGGCCCCAGCAGAGTGTGATGCCATAGCCACAAAAAAGATGTGTTGGTCCCTCAGTGGCCCACTCTTCTATTCCTTTCCACATTATAAGCACAAATCCCATTTTCAGTGAAACACCACAGAAAACAAAGTGGAAACTACAGTATTATTTTGGCTAAATAGGTCAGGTCAATGGGACAGCAGGGAAGGAAAGAGAAGGGTGAACAGAAAGGCTGAAGGCTCCTCATTTCTATGTGAACCTATAGGAAACCATGTTTTGTGTACTGTTTTTCATGCAACTGTTAAACTTCCTTGGTTTGTCTAAATGCTAGTCCAGTCTAAAAATCTGAGCACAGCAAGCAGCCTAAAGATTTGTATAATGGTCCTGCTAATGTGTTCCAGAATATTTTACCTCTCCTCATCCCAAGCAGTGTCACTTGTTGCTTGCATTCATTTAGCTATCCCATGGCATTTCACAGAATGGTAGGGATTGGAAGGAACCTCTAGAGATTATCTAGTCCAACCCCACTGCTAGAGCAGGTTTACTTAGAGCAGGTTGCCAGGGAATGAGACTCCACAACACCTCTGGGCAGCCTGTTCCAGTGCTCTGCCACCTTCAATGTAAAGAAGTTTTTCCTCATGTTCAGGCGGAATTTCCTGTGCTTCAGTCTGTGCCAGTTGCCCCTTGTCCTGTCACTGGGCACCACTGAACCTGGCCCCATCCTTTTGGCACCTCCCCTTTAGATATTTATAAGCATTGACAAGGTCCCCTCTTAGTCTTCTCTTCTCCAGGCTAAAGAGCCCCAAGTCCCTCAGCCTTTTCTCATAGGGGAGATGCTCCAGTCCCCTCATCATCTTCATAGCCCTCCTCTGTACCCTCTCCAGTAGCTCCCTGTCCTTCTTGAACTGGGGAGCCCAGAACTGGACACAGCACTCCAGACGGGACTTCATCAGGGCAGAGTAGAGGGGGAGGAGAACCTCCCTTGACCTGCTGGCCACACTCTTCTTAATGCACCCCAGGATACCATTGGCCTTCTTGGCCACAAGAGCACATTGCTGGCTCATGGGAACTTGCCATCCACCAGAACTCCCAGGTCCTTCTCTGCAGAGCTGCTCCCCAGCAGGTTGACCCCCAGCATTTGCAGAAAATCAATGCAATTATCATGGCTGTGTGTAGTTCAGACACTTTAATGAAAGATAACAAGCTTGTTTTGAGATGGAGTCTAACTCTGTCTGGATGATTCTAGTTAAGATTAGAAGGAAGCTGAACTACAGTTAATATAGGAGCTTAGTATTACACTTGAAAACTGTTGTCCATTTTCTAAGGTAAAACCTGTCATAGATGCAACAACTTAATGTAGTTAACCTTTGAAATAGTTGAGGTTTCTATAACAACTATGTAAGAGAAAATATTGAGGGATCAAGTGTAGTGTTATGCTGTAGTTGGTAATCCAGTAGTAATGTTAAGACTATACAGTGATGATAGTCTAGCAAATGCTGATATTTATGGAAATTGCTGTAAAAGTATGTCATTTTGATAGCAGGGAGGAGTGTAGTGGCATGTCTGTGTGATGTTTGAGAGAAAGAAGATTTTTTATTAAGTATCTGTTGATGTAAGTTACCTGTTTGTTACCTTAATCTGTAGAAAATCTCTCAGCCAAAGAATTGAAGAAAATGCTTAGTAAGCAAAGAAGAGCACAGAAGAAAGCAAAACTTGAAGAGGAAAGAAAACATGCAGAAAGAGAGCGACAACAGAAAAATCAAAAGAAAAAGCGAGATGAAGAGGAGGAGGAAACGAGTGGACCCAGGGAAGAGCTAGTTCCTGAAAAACTGGAAAGGGTTAGCATGGTCTTTCTGTTAAATTTGTGTGGCTGTCATAAGAAGCCTTATAATATGGGATTGCTATCAGGTTCTTCTAAAACATCCAGGGGTTTTTATAAAATTATTTTTGCATGCAAAGATACTCTTTTGTAGTCTATCTCTGTTTACACTAAAGAAAAGTAGTATTTTTCTCTAGTAAAAAGTTCTGTATTAATATTATTACTGTCTTTAAATTTGGGGTTTTTGAACAGTAGACATCCTTCATTAAAATAGGTACTGAACAAAAAGGTGGTTCTTGCCTGAAGAACTCTGGTTTTCATACAGTGAATAGAGAGAAACTAACAGAAATGTGGTTGCAGTTCACAGCATTTGAAGACATGAGCCAGTATTTTTCTAAGCACAAAGAACCATCTCCTTTATCACAAGAAGCTTAAACTTATGAAGTTACTAAGGTGGTTGTACTTAATTGTTTCCTAAATGCTAAATTACAACACGGAGTACATCACATAAGCAGTGCCACAGTTAGCAATGATGTTGTCTTCAACATGAAATCATGAGTAATCACCTGTAAAGCTTACTGTTCAAATAAAAATGTTGTGGTTCAGTTTAATCCAGAAAGCTGTCTACAGTTCACCTTTGGCCTCTGATTATTTAAATGCTCCCAATACCAAGGACCATTTCTGTTGGGTTTGATTTGACATTTATTTTAAGCTTTAAATTTCACTTTATTTTTATTACAACAGGTAGAAAATCCCCTAGAAGAAGCCATTAAGTTCCTTATACCACTTAAGAATCTTATTGGAGATGACATAGAAACACATTTATTAGCATTTGAAATATACTTTAGAAAAGGTAAAGTACTGCATAATTTCATTTTTGCTCTACAAAATTTTAACCCTTTGCTGCAGCCTATGTTATCTGAGTGTAGCCTAAAATGGTCTGGAATAGGTATTTGCTGAACTGAAGCTGGGGGTTGCATCATATCCAGTAATAACAAGGGAAATGGCATTTTTGTTTAGCCACCCTTAAACAAAACAGCTGAGAGCAAAGTAAGTTGTAATGTATATACTAATAAATGCTGTAGACAGATACTTTCAGTGTGATCTTTAATAATCTAGGGGGAAAAGCCAAATGGATAGTAATTTTATCTGGGCAGTGTTGCCAGAGTTCAAGCAGCAGGCATTTGTATTTTATTAAGCAATTTGGATGGAAAAAATAAATCTCCTTTCTAATTCCATGTGGGCATTGATGTTTCTAATGTTTGTACTAGGCTTACTAAAGAAAACAGTAGTTGATATAAAAAGTTCTATATTCTTAATCTTGGTATGTTTTTGTTTTTTCTCCTTCCCACAGGAAAGTTTCTGTTAATGTTACAGTCTGTCAAAAGAGCTTTTGCTATCAACAGTAATAACCCATGGCTACATGAGTGCTTGATTAAATTCTCTAAAGCTGGTATGTGTGTAGGAAGTAATGAGTGTATTTATAAAGATACAGGAAGTTATATTGTACAAGGACATAACTACATATTTTTGTGATGTATACATACTCTTGAAACTGATAGGAAGGAAAAATAAAAATAAATTGTGTGTTTTCCATGGTAATACCCAAGAAAACACCGGTTGAGCTATGCAGGGTATAGTGTATGTATTGTATCATATTCCTTCCTCTATTAATCCACTAGGTGGACCAAATAACTCATTTTGGCTAGATTTCAGAGGAGTAGGTGTTCCAAAGATCCTGAAAATTCTTTAGTTTTAAGAAAAAGTGGCAGATATGGGAGAGATATCGTGACTGAAGCAAAGTATGTGTTGTGAACCTGCAGCAGCAAGTTTGCATGGCAGAGCACCCTTCATGAATGTTTCATCTATAAATGCATTAGTAATGGTTGTGTTGACCTGTTTTGAACTGAAACTTGTATTTCATTCTGTGCCCAAATTTTAAAAATGGGAATTTTAGCACTAATGTTTATGGCTTCACACTGTGTTCTACAGTTCCTTAAACAGCTTTTTTTGCTTCTCTCCCTCTTACCTTCCCCTTTCTAGTATCTGACCATAGTAACCTCCCAGAAATTGTGAGCAAGGTCCTAACTCAAGAAATGCAGAAAATCTTTGTTAATAAAAACTTGGAAAGTTTTAATGAAGAATTTCTCAAACACAATGCTACCTCCATTCAGCACCAGCTGTCAGGTTTGTTTACCTTTTTAATGCTCTTCAAAACGAGATTATATATGTGATTCAAATCCAGAATCTTTATCTGTGGTCCTTAATTCGTACCTAAATTTCAGTGAGTCAGATATTCACATCTTTACATTGGTTTTGTTCTGCCTGCTTTTACTGTGTAAAAATCCAAACCTCATTCCCCTTATTAGATGCATAAAGAACGTGCTTCTTCCCTCCAAAAAGTGCAATCACAGCACCAGAGATACTAGAGTATGGAATCAATGTCATCCCTCCTGTTGCAGCTTTAGTTTTGAAGTTATTAGAGGAAAAAAAGATACAGCAAAGCATCCTATATATTAGCAGTGCTTTTCCCTGTTTTCTTATCAGCTGGAACATCTCTATCATAGCTTTGTCACGTAGCAACAGCATCAATAAAAATATCATGACGAACTTGTTATGCTACTTTTGTTTTTCTCCTTCATGGTCAACAATGAAAGTGTTGAAATATGACACTTATTTGTGTAGAAAAGCTACAAGTAGCTCTTGGAGTTAAGTCAAAGGAAGTTATAATTTAAATTTGCCACGTCTGCTGAGCACAGAAAGTTTTGCAATAAAAATTGGTGTTACCCAAGATGCCTAGTAGAGGAGAAAACAAAACACGTCTCCAGCAGTTAGGAAGCAAAAATAAATGTAGATTTATCAGGCATTTAAAGTACTTAAAACAGTACTAACCTCACCTAGTTTGTTAAAGTTGCCCAGGGTCTGTCCAAAATCACTGGAGAAAGTTAGCTTCAGAGGGTTGTTCATCTCTCCTAAAGGAAGGCCAGGTAACTTGCCCCAAACTTAGAGGCCATTGAAAGATCCCTGTTTCAGGATGGCATCTTGAGAGAAACACTTGCACCCTTTTCCTGTGAGCATACTTAAGGTCTGGGAAGTCAAGTACAGATATCTCAGCAGGCAGTTGTTTTCCGATACTTCCAGATGTTTTCTTTCACTCCTGTTGTTGGGCGTCTACCTGGATGTCTTCCAGGTTGTACTTACTGGTCCTCCATTGTTATGGAAAATGGTCCAGTTACTTTGTCATAGTAACTGTACAGGCTAAGACTATCCTGCTCCTGAGTTTGGCTTCACACTGTCTATGGTTTAATGCATTTGAGAAGAACCCAAGCTAGATCACTGACAGTGGTGGCACCTGTGTTAGAGAGATGTCAGGGACCCCTTTCAAGAAGGTGAGGCTGTTCTCATTCAGTGGAGGTGGGGGGCTTAAAAGTGTAAAATCCCCTTAGGCTAGATAACTGATCCAACAGTATCAGATTACAGGCAGTGAGAACAAATGTGGGATTAGGATTTTGAAGTGAAATCAGGAGTGAACTAAGGGTAGACATGTCCTTGATAGCTTCAGGTCTTTGCCTGTGTGTCAGTCTGCTGTTTGTGCTGGAACAGGTCTGAAGCAATTGATTTACCTACAGTACAATTTATAACTTCTTAAACTGCCATCTTGAATTCAAGTTTGAAAATGTAAAGGTCTGAAAGACCTAAACCTTGAGTCTGAGAATAAAAAAAGAGTATTTTCTTAGTTTAAAATTATTACTAGTAAAAAAGAAGTAAGCAAAATTTTAATCCCTCTTCAATTTCTGTAACATAGCCTCCCTGATTTTAAACAAATGTAAATAGGTTAAGTTTAAGGGGTTTTTTTTGACAATGATGACTCAAACCCTAATATATTCAGTCTAGCAATTTAATTTCTGAAACCCTCTGGATACAAAAAGCAGTAAGAACTAGAAAACTTACTTCAATTAGGAAAACAAGTTTGATAACTAGGGAGGTGAGTTGAGCAAGAGGAGACAAAAGTCAGGTGTGGGCTTTTAACTTTTTCAGTAAAATGGTTTCTTAAGCTTTTTGTTCTTCATAGCAGATTATGTAGTGAGGTGTGTCTGGACTTTGTATTTGGGAAGAGTAAAGTATATGAAATGCCTATGTGTTCATTAAGATGAGGTTTTAAATTAAGGCAGTTACGATAGGAGAAGCAACACGGTATTTTGCAGAGATGCCCAGACCGGTTTCAACAAACTAACTGTGGTCCAAGAAGCTGTGTAGTTACATCGGTGCAGTATCTCCTCACCAGTGTTGGCTAGTCCAGGCAAAGCACCAAACTTGCGTTACACTTGCCTTGCACCTGAGCAGTTTCACTCAGCTCCAGGTTCGTAGCCCCCTTGGTCTTACTTTCTTCCATACGGCCATATTCTGGTCTAAATTTCTGGACTCTGTTCCACAGTTGCGCAGTAACTGTACTGTTCACTTACCTGCAGTACTTTTCAAAAGAATTCAGAGTATCTCTGAGAAAATGTCTTTTACTCACTTCTGCATTTGTAGGGTGGATCTCATTTAGCCTGCGGATTTGAAGGGCGTCATCATCAATGTGCCCTTTATGTGTATTTCTTGAATGGTAGGTCTTCAGTGAAGTGAGGCGTTTCACTTTTGCAGAAGCAGATCTCCTGTGTTACTCAATCCTTACGCTTCTAATAAATTTCAAAATAGCTTTAGTTTCACTAGTTTTAAGTTATTGAAGTATTTGTGTTACTAAAACTAGTGAGAAGTCCTGATTCACATTGATTTATAAGTTCAGATTCTGTGTGTCTGTATATGCAGTATTGCTTTTAGGAACACCGTTGTCTAAATGTTGTGTTCTTTTTTTATCCTAAGGTGCAAAGATGATGTATTTCCTGGACAAATCAAGACAAGAAAAAGCAATTGCTGTTGCTACTAGATTGGATAAAAACATGAGAGACAAAAATGTGAAGGTAAAAGATACAGTATTTAAAGGCAAAAAAATGTGTGGGATCTTAAATAGCAGATACTTAACTGCAGGATAATGTATATGCTTCATATATCATGATAAATTAGTATTATTTGAAAGAATGACGTTTCAGACCTTTTCCCCTAAGTAACTATAAGATATGTGAATACCAACAGAGAACCTGTTTGCTCAGATTGTTTAACAGTGCATCTTAGTGATAAAACAATTGCAAGTCATGTTTATTAACTGTTACTTTTGTTTCTTTAGACATTAACAAAGGTTTTTGAGGCACTGCTTGATGGCAGTTTTGGAAGCTGCCACACTCAATGTGAAGAATATCAAGCAGCATGTCATAAACTGTTTCCTTTTACGTCTGCCTTTATGCCTGCCACAAACGAGGACGATAGCAGCATTGCATCTGTGAATCATACAGCCATTAACCATGATTTGCTGTCTAACGAAATCTGAAGCAGTGTGTGCAAGCCCGTGTGTGTGTATACCTATGTGCACACGTGTATTCAAAACTCTGACTCTCATTACATGCTGGCTGGATACAGATCAGGGTTACTTTTCCAGGTTGTATTTTAATATCTTTAACAGGTATAAAACAAAGTATTTGGATAGTCCTATGAAATGGAGTATGCTATTAGGTTTTTTTCTCCCGACAAAACCTGCCAATATTTATGTAAACATTATCCTTAATCAGCATTTTTCGTGTTTATACTTGTACAGTTTTAAGTCTTTTAATAATCCATCAGCCCTCCCTCACAAAAAATATGGATGTTAAAGACTGCTTTCACTTAAGTGTCGTTACATATGCAGATAAATGTGATCATATCTTGTTAATAAATTATCATTTGAGCGTTTTTAGCAGATCAAGACTGAAGTGCTGCTTGAATTGCCCTCTTCGTCTTTTACTGTTCTTTAGGGTTTTTTCTGGGTTTGAATTTTTTTCTTTTTTAATTTTATTTTTATCTTTGGTCAGTTTGGTTTCTTTTGAACGTGACAATGAAAGCATTGGGGGTTTGCATGTTTTCGTCAGGTGTGTGTCTTATATGGAACCAGTGTTGATGGATATGAAGATTAGGCTTGTGTAAAAACACTTAAGGTTTTTTGAAAACTATTCTATCTACCTTGTGTTCCATAGCTATTGTTTTCTTAAGTTTATTGTCGGTTTAACACTTTTGAGTTTGAATACCCTGAAGCAATTCCCTGTGAAAACACAACGAATTTGATACTGTTGTTTGTCCTTTGTTCCATCTTCCCCTTCCTCCTCTTCCTTCTGGTTTCTCCCCATCTGTTCACCTATTGACACTTAATTTGAAAAAGCTGCTCCAATTTTGAGCAAATGCAGAAGGTACAGTAATGGGGAATACAGTTCTTCTCTAGATCATAAAAATTCACTGGTAAGTTTACTGTATTACCTCCATTAAAAGTCTTAGTTGTGCACTTATGGCCAATACCCCAGTACTTCTCATGCCTAAGTACTATTGCTTTAGGTGCTGCAAAGCAAATAGTATGCGAGGAGTATGTTTTACACTTAAAAACTGTTAAAGGGAGCACAAAGAGGCTGACTACAAATCATAATGAACCTTTTTCTTACTTTGTATTCTGGTGCATTAACTATTAAATATACAACACATCAAATGGAAGTCTGAATCTAATATACCTATTTAAAGCATAGTATTGCTGGAAAAATGGCTACATATGACAGCTTTACATTCTATAAGAACTGCTATCAAAACATAACTATACTGTGGCTTGTACAGAAACTGTTTTCTGGAAACTGTAATGGAATCATTCAATCTCGGTTTGTTTTTATTTCACTGCAATGTAAATAATTTCAGTAATATTAACTAGCCCCTCAAAGGCAAATATAAGTTCATGAAGAGGGGATTTTATTAAGACAAATAAACTGTTCTAATTAAAATTCTCCTTTGTGTGTCATCTGTTTAGACTCAAAATTGTTGAATGGAAAACTCACTGTAAAATATTGCCAACATATGTTATGCTGTAATAAATTATTTTGTACACACTTGCCTTTGGTTCGGAATTTTTGCATATTTATGGACATCAAACTTCAGCCCATCGCACTCATTAAGTTTTTTCTATTTGGTTGCAACGCTCACTGGTTTAATGTGAACTCTTAAATAGTTAAGAAAAAAAAATCACTATTTAGCAGAGTCATGTAACAGACTACCCTGAGAAATATGGCAAGACAGTTTTGTGTTGTGTGTTCATGACTGTGGAGCAACTTGCTCAAAGATGTCTTGAGCAGGGAGCTGTAGTTGACCATAATGGGGCGGGTTTGGTGCAGCAGTACCCCAGAAACACTTCAAGGTGAAGACGAGTAGTAGTACAGTGGTCTTCTGTCTCTTAGAGTGATCACACTTACATTACTAGAGATTTAATCCAGGCCTTCAAAAGAAGGCAGCGGCACTACAGATAGAGCTGCTAATCCAGTCTTCTGGTATCTGTTTAGCTTGATCTTTAAATCACACTTGAGCAAAAATACCTGGGGTATCTTTTCAGCAGTTTATTCCTTGAGAAAATGGTTGAATAGTTTTGATTTCAGGAACTCTCTTGAGAATTCTGAAAATAGAAAAATTGAATCTTCTGTCACCCAGTGTGTGGTTGGTTTTCTCTTAGAACTGCTGGAGGCGTAAGCGGCTGCATTTTCACCAGGGCTGCGACCACAGGTGTGAACTGCTTGGGCTAACAGATGCTTGGCAGCCCTGTAGGCCATTGCGGAGAGCGAGTAGGGTGGTATGGGAAGGATAACAAAAATAACGGAGAACAGCAGATGTGAAGGAAAGGTGTTTTTCTTTAAACTATTCTGAAAAGTTTGGGTGTCTTTTCAGTAACTTGAATTAGAAAAGGCATTGAACTTAGCAGATGTGCTAAGCAGTCCCAGAGGAAGTACACTATAATCCGTAAATGCTGACAGTGTTTACATCTCATAGAATGGGTTCTTCACATTTCAGTGTTTAAAATACATCAGCTGGCCTAGCTCACTCTTTCATACTGTTTCTCATTCTTGTTTTCTTCCTCACTTTCTTGCCTTTTTTTTCCCCTCCATGCAATTTGTCATCTCAAAAACAATTTAATCCACTTTGACAGTCACTTGTAGTTGTTCTTGTTCCATCCTCCAGTCCTTGAACTTCTTTCCTCCTCTAGCAGATGTGACATCCCAGGAGGTAGCGTCTCTTTTCTTGCCAGTCCACTGGCATCAGAATAACTGCTCAGCTGCATCAAGAATTTGTGGGCAGTCCAGTTTGAGTCAGCTTGTGGGGGTGGCTGAGGTTGAGGAGCCTCACCTCTCCTTTGCCCCAGCACAGTCACACCCTATACCTGATCTCGGGTCTCAAATCTGAGACTGGCTATCTTCTCACAAATGAGGCGAGCTGAAAACGTCCTAGGCTGAGACTAGGGTATTTCCTGTTTTCGGCACTACGTGTTCTGTTGACCCACAGGAAGGTGGAAGGAGTGACCGATTTATGCCACGCATCTCCTTTCTTCTGTTACTCTGGCCTGGCCTCAGTTAGTGCCAAAAGAACACGGCAGCCATTTCATCAGGGCCTGAGTGAGTTGCTTTAAGATGCTTCTGTGGCCACCCACAAGCAGACACGTGTCAATGAAGCTATTAATACGTGGCGTATTTCAACTGGAGACAGTTTTTGGGGTGAGGACTGGTGAAGTTTTGTTGATTATAGCAGTGGTTCTGCTAAGAAAAAGTGACTGGTGTAGGAAGCGAAGCTGTAATCACCTGCAGCTAGAGCTATAGTGAAGTCGTGGAAACTCGTTCCTAATTCAAACCTGTGAAGTCCAGAAAGTGTGAAGGACCAAGACAAATTCCAGCTCTTGTAATGTGCTTGAGTGGTTTTACCCTTTTTTGTTTGTTTCTTTGTTGTTAACAAAAAGAAGCCTTTGACTAATCAAGGAAATCGTACTGTTTTATAGGCCAGATTTAATAGATTAAGAAGAAACATCTTTTAATCAATGTATCACAATTTTTTTGATCAGTTGTTTTTATCAATACCATATTCAAATGCTTCACAATCTTGTGATGCGTTCTCACGACCTCCTTCAAATTTAATCTTTGTTGCAGATGGGCATGGGGTGACATGTGCCCCAACAACCTGCAGGTATCTTAAGATGGGATTTGCTGCCCAGGCAGAAGGAAAACATGCAGGGGCAGCAGCAGCCTAGCAAAAGGCTGCCTGCAGGATGCAGGACCTTGCTTACCTCAGCATGCTTGGCAGCATTAGGTAGTTCAGGGCGTTTAGTGAAGAGCTGATTCAGCTTGCTGAACTGACAGAAATGATTCACTGTATTTCTTGACTGGTGTAATTTCTGGTGGTTAGTGAAAGGCATTCATCAGAGGATCGCCAGAACTAGTGCAGGGGAAGCAGCAGCAGAACAATCTGGGACAGGCCAGCTCATCTGCAGTTCCAATGGGAGCGTGTCCCTGGGGAGCGTATGCGCCTCTTCTTGGGCTTCCCGTCTGAGGCTGCAGGTGTGAATGAAAAGGGGTCAGTTCATGGATTTTCCACTAGAGGGGAGCCTTGCATCCAGAATATTTTCATGGTAACCAGAGGCTGCAGTCTTGTTTATTTTCAGGTGTTTTCTGGTTTTGTAGTAAGAGCACAGGAAAATGCCCATCTTCTTATTTCTTTCAGGCAGTGGAGAGAGGTCATCGGTGTTTTCTATGTGCTTAAATGGCTGATTCATTTGTATATTTGTGTATTTATAGCTTTATATATATATAACAACCCAGTTGTCTGTAGGCATTGATTTGGGGATCTGAAGTTGATAGCGTGGTTGCTTGGGCTTATTTCATACCAGCTGAGACTGAGCCCACAGATGGTCAGACTGGCCTTTTGGGAGATCCTGTGTCATACGCGGAAAGCGTCAGTCAACCCAGTCCCTGCCTTACTCTCCTCAGGCTGTGGAAGAGAGGCAGAACGTATGGCCTTGAACATGAGTCTTCGCTACAGTTAATTTATCATAGACTAAATACGCTGTCTGTTCACGACTCAGACTTTGCCGCTTAAACATATTTCAAGTCTAGACAAAGTATTTGAGAATGTGCTGTTAACGCTTAAGAGGAGGTTTGGGTTTTGAGAGGTTCCTAGAGGTATTTTAGGTATGCAGTAAGGCAGGAGAAGGAAATAAATGGTATTTCCAGGACTAATTTCATATGACAAATGGTCCAACTTAAAGCAAACCAGGAAGCAAGGACCAGAGCAGGAGCTGTCTTCCTGTCGCCTGTGCAGAGTGCCTAACAGAGAGTGGTCCTAGTTCAAGACAAAGGTTTATACCACCAGTAATAAACTGTCATAAAACCTATCTGTAGACATAACCAAACTATACCTGTTCGAAGCCTGTCTCTGTAAATAGCAGTGCAAAAGGTGTCCAGGGATCCACAAAAAGTGTCAGGCACCAAATGAGTCTCTTAACTGTCACTGGAGATGTTTAATCAAATTTTTGCTAATCCACACACTTGATTATATTTCAAATGAGCTCAGGGAGTACCTGAAGTTGAAGAAACTTTTATTTCTATTATTAGCATTCCCTGCAGGTCTAAATGTCTTTCTAGGGAAATTCAAACCAATGGACTGAAGCAGTTAGGCTTGCCATGGATAAATTTATTACTTTGGGATCCGCAGAAGAGACCATGATTTGTTTGCTCAGGGGTTAGAGTGCCAATCCATGTGGTGAGGACATGCACTGGTGGTTAGCTCGGGCATCACAGAGCATCCAGACGTGAACCAGTATAGAAATGTCAGCAAGTCCCTGCTGTTACTGCGCTGCTCGGGACTACATCACTCAGCTGCCCGATTGGTGAATGCTGAAGCATCCGCAAGGTGCTTCTC